TAATTTCTTTCTATTTTTAGTAGAGACGGGGTCTCGCTCTTGCTCAGGCTGGTCTCGAACTCCTGACCTTGAGCGATCCACCCGCCTCCGCCTCCCAGAGTACTAGGATTACAGATGTGAGCCACCACACCCGGCCCATTATACATTTTTTTAAAGGAATTTTGGTATCCCCTTTGTTGATGGACTCTATCACAGTTGTAATGGGGGCCCCTGGTGGAGATAGAGGAAATAATTTGGCATAAATAAGAGAAAAACATACATTTACTATTAAAAGTGAATCATCCAGTGTGTATTTTTCTTTATGTAAGTTTTAGTTCCGTAATTCACAGACAGATGCTGAATACATTGGTGTATTTTGTCCAGCCATCGCTTTTGTGCCCACTGTGTTTTGCCACTCCCTACAGGGATAGTAGAAGAGTACCAGTTGCCATATTACAACATGGTACCCAGCGATCCATCGTACGAAGATATGCGTGAAGTTGTATGTGTCAAACGTTTGCGGCCAATTGTGTCTAATCGGTGGAACAGTGATGAAGTAAGTGGAACTCAGTACCCTGGAGAAGTGATTGGTAAATGTCACCAAAGATACTATCTGCTCACTACGTTCTCTTTACTTTTCAGTGTCTGCGAGCAGTTTTAAAGCTAATGTCAGAATGCTGGGCCCACAATCCAGCCTCCAGACTTACAGCATTGAGAATCAAGAAGACACTTGCCAAGATGGTCGAATCCCAAGATGTAAAGATTTGACACCTAAACAGTTGTGAGGAGAAACTGCAGACTGCAAGAAATGTTTTTACCCAAGGAACGGGTGGAATTAGAGTCAACTAAGGATATTAACTTGGTTCTCAGACTCTTTCCTCAGTACACATTCACAGGCTGCTAATATTAAACCTTTCAGTACTCTTACTAGACTACAAGCTGGGAACTTCTTCTAAACACTTCATTCTTTATATATGGACAGCTTTATTTTAAATGTGGTTTTTGATGCCTTTTTTTTTTTATTAGGTTTTTATGAACTGCATCAAGACTTCTATCCTGATTAATAAGTCTCCAGTCAAACTCTGGGTACTGAATTGCCTGTTCATAAAATGGTGCTTTCTGTGAAAGCCTTAAGAAGATAAATGAGTTCAGCAGAAATGGAAAAATATACACCTTTGCCTTCTACCTGAGAAAATTTAATCTGTTTGTATTCTACCTTTGTAAAACAGCCTGTAGATTACGATCTGCTTGGGATACTGCTTAGTTTATGGTAGTTGGTCATGCCTTCCTTGATCGTGGAGTGTGTGTCTGTGCACACATGCACACCAGGATTCCTCTGCTGCCGTTTGAATTAGAAGAAAATAATTTATGAACGCACAGGAAGATATTGGTGGCCGGTGGTTTTGTGCTTTAAAAATGCAATATCTGACCAAGATATGCCAATCTCATAAAAGCCATTTGTCTTGCAAGTGAGATAGTTGCCCAGCCAACTTTACTTTTTAACGTAAAAGTTGATATAAAAGCCAAAAGAAGTTTAAAGTGTCTGTAAATTTGGACTGTTTTCCTTCCACGGCCATCATTTTTTGGGTAGTTATTTTTGTCATGGAAAGCATCCCATCCAAAGTCGGAGTTCCCAATGCAATGAACCATGTTCATAAAGAAAGCACTTCTTATTGAAGTAAATTACTGCATTTGATAGCAATGTAAGTGCCTGTAACCATGTTCTGTATTCTTTATTCTCAGTAACTTTTTAAAGGGAAGTTATTTATATTTTGTGTGTAATGTGCTTTATTTGCAAAATGCCCACTCCTTTACAACCATATTTTATATATGTACATAACATTCATACTGTAGAAACCAGCTCACATGTACCTCACATCCCATCCTTAAGGGAAGAAAAATTATAAAGTAGAACTTAATATGAATTTTCAGAATTAATGTATTCAAAGTAATATATCAAATCCAGGCCTTTGTTAAATTCAGGTAAAAACTTAAGATAATATCATCTCAATTTTCCTTTGTGAAAGGATTTCTAATTAGAAATTTACGTCAGCTGATATAAATTTATTGACAACTGTTAAATACGTTTTAGGCATCTAAATCATTTGATAATTTTGGTTTTATGATTTCTGTTCCCTAACTTGTGAAGACAATGAAGAGTCATGCAGAAAAGTCCAGTATTTAGTCAGTATGTGTACGTACACTGTATAGCTGTTATTCAACAAAACGATACATATTTTATAGATGCCTTGTTATCTCAAGGAATAATTCTGATTTACTTAAATTTATTATGCTTCTGTAATGCCTTTTAGATATTAATCTCCTGTTTGGAGTATACAACTCATGAGGCATCAAATGAGACAGTTTTCTTTGATTACTACATAAAATGAATGTGATTATATCACAGCATAGCCCAAAAGGTTTAAATTCAGTGGGGCAAACTCAGAGCATGTGTCTATCCATTACCAAAATTTTGACTGTAATTTAAGGTTAAAACTTAAATATTTGTCTGCACATTAAATTTCACAAATTTGAAACTTGCCGTAACCATTTTAAGTTTGATAAGTTTCCTCATATTTAAAGTTTGAAGTGTTCATCAAGATAAGTAAATTTGCATATTGATAATACTGAGTAACTTGCTTTTCCAGGACTTTTTTCCCCATCTGTATACTAAGAAATACAGTTATGTTAATCTAAATTGCCATGTGATTTGAGGACAGTTATGACATCTGATTTACTTAGTTTCAGTTAATCTTGATTTATTTTTGACTTGGTAAACTATAAATCTTTAAAATCATTTGTCATCTTAGTAATAAAGAAAATATATAAGGAAATACAAACTTTATTCTTAGAAATGTTAAAATGGTATGTGGAAGCAAAAAATTAGTTTATGAGACGACTCTAACGATTTCTTTTAATTAGCTTGGTCTAGTGAAAGTGATATCAAGAGCTAACCTTAGAAACTTGTTGAGTAAAAACATTTTCTAGTTTAACTTGTTCTTTAAAAAGCAAGTGTTGCTATATTTGGAATCCTAAAATCTAAAAGAGTTGAATGAAACTTGTTTTCTTCTCTCCTTCCCACGCTTAAATCTGAAGCTCATCCAGTAAGTGAAATACTGAAAGAATATGGCAGCCCAGCAAGAGGAAGTATTAGGTAGTACCATAGTTAGGAAATAATTTCTAAAACCCTGGGAGCCATTATTTGGTCCCATTTACAATTTAGCGTTTTAAAAATGTGTGGCCTCAGTCAGTCATCCCTTTAAATTCAAGCATAAAAGCAAACAAAAATCCAAAACTACCTAAATATAAACAGCAAAGGTTAACCCTCAAAGAGAATTCTCCTTATGAATTTTCTTTATGCTGGTAAATATCTCTAGGATTAAAGGCACATTAGGATTTGCTTCAATGTATTTATTCTAAGCTTTCACTGTGCTTTCTTATTTAACAAGTTTCTGAAGTATAAAATTTGAATCTGATTTCTCTGGAAGTATTTTCACAAGAGATATTTTGATCAACATTTTATGTTGCCTTTTCAATGTCCAGAGGTGTTTCTAAACTTAGAAAGTGGCTTACAGTTTTTGAAAATTACGTGTTCCTAGAATGTGCCAGATTTTTAAATTTACTCCAACAAATATTCAACACCTTATGCTTTGTTTCGGTTTAGAACAAAAGTGCACTATACTTTAAAGAATCATGCATCCCCAGTTTGGCCTAAGGTCAAATTTGATATTGAATAGTTTATTGCAGGGCAGATTTTATAAATTAAAACACATTTCATACACGTGAATGTTTTGAAATGTTTAAAAATATCTTAAATAATTTCAACAGCAGAAATATTAATTGATTTTTTTTTTTAAAAAAGAAGTGTTGTAGCCCTTGTATTGTTTAAAAGTGATAAAATTTATTACTGACTTGAGTCAGACGTTAAAATTTAGTGTAGCCGTTCATCTGGCCTCGGTGCAAGATGAGTCACAGTGGAAACTGCAGAGGGGAGACGTGTTCATAAGAACCAAATTAAATCTATGGCAGTATCAGATGAAGCCATGTGTAACAATGGTCACATAAGGAAAGTATGTGAATATGGCTTTTGCAAAGGATTAAGTATGTCATTGTAATTTTAGCTTGTACTCTATATTCTGCTTTCAATGGGATTATTTAAGCCCTTTTAGTGACTTTTGTCCTTGCCCATTTAAAAACTAAAATGTAGTACATATTGTATAAAATGAAAATACCATCATAGCTTAATTAGGGATACTGTACATAGGCATTGAAAGAAGGGCAAAAACAAGCAGTTTTATTATGCAATTGTAAAACACCAAAAATATGGATTCATCTTTGATATGTAACACACTAAATGTATTTTGTACAGCATCTGGTTTAAAAGGTGCCTTATTAAGTTTACCATTAATTGCTTTGTTCTATATACAGATTATGTCCAATGTATCATTTTTAAGTAAATAACCTTATTTTAGTATATTTTAGTGATGTGTTTTGTGATACTGTACTCAGACTGTGTTGTGTATCAGAAGTCATCTGGTGAAATTTTATAACAGATAATTTAGTGTACAGACATATGTTCCTAAGATGCATGTTTCAGCTACCGGAACCCAGTACAGAGCACGTGCAGGTAAGTGACTGTATGCTCTTTTCTTTGTGTAGGTAGAGAGGTTAAACCTATTAGAGGGAAGGGGTTTTTCCTTTACAAAAAGAAAAAAACAAACATCATCTGATTATAAAAATATGTACTCATGGCAGAGATTTTTGGGAAAC